CCAAAATTATTAATTACCTCATTTATTATCCATTTTTACACTATGAGTTTCTTTCTTGTGTTGAAAAAAAAAATGTAATGCTGGTTGCTGGCACCCATTGATCTCAAGACTAAGTAATACAAAAATAACTATGGAAGTAAATGGATGCCAGCAGCCAGCATTCTTCAGAATATCTTATTTGGTGTTCAACAGAAGAAAGAAACTCAAATAGTTTAGTTAAAGATGGAGCCAAACTCTACAGGTCAGTGGCCCTTCATGAACATTTTGGACAGATGAAAAATAATACAAAAATCACAACATTGTTAAAATGTCAATGAGATTAAAACAAAGGACTGTTCTGACTTTTTCAGGCAGCATACATCAGACAATTAAATTTTGTCTCACTTGTTAGTTTAAGGGTGTTGTGTTGGATTCAAATTTGACATTTGATATTCAGGAAAATGCAGTGGTGGAAAGAGTACTAAAAAAAATCATACTTAAGCAAAAGCACCCCTACTTGCCAAAAGATACAAGTGCAAGTAAAGTAAAAGTATCTGTTGTAAATACTACTTAAAGTATGAGTCTCAAGAGTAGCGACTATTTTACTCTATACCCTGGAAATGAAAAATATAACTTGGATCAATATCAATTTCTTGTGAGTTTGATTATTTGTTATTCATAGACTATAAATTTAAAATGTAAGCTTGATCTAATGAGAAATTTGTGTAACCTAACGGGCAAAAATCTAGCTGTGACAAAAGTTAAAGCTTAGGTTTTGCTTTGAACTTAAAAAGCTACGAGTGTCCAGCAGTTGGCGCTGCAAACCAAGCTTGTCCAGCACTGATAAATACAATTTGTATATGTGTTTGAAAACGTAACATTCTGTAGTGCATTTACATTTAGTCATTGTTTAATGTAATTTGGTGTTTTTATTTATCATACAGTTGGCATCCTTCATCGTTCAGCTGTTGGGACATTACTGCCCGCTGTTGAGACGTTCTTGCTAGTTGCATAAAATCGCAAGGAAGCAGTGCTCGTGCCCGAGTCTGTGCACGCGTGGGAGGCCAGTCACGGTGAATATTATTAAAACCTTTAAAAAGCCAAACAAATTTTAACAATCCATAGATGAAAGATCAGGTCTTATTTATAAAAGACACAAAAATGCAGGCTAAATGTATTGTGAAATATTAAACCTTTAAGTATATATATATATATATATATATATATATATATATATATATATATATACACATTGTGCTAAATAAGTTTAAAATAAATATTTTAATGTGTATTTTATTTTTCCCCAAACAGCCTGGAAACTGACCTGCATCATAAAACTTGTGCTTGGTATGTATCATTGTTTAAAAAACCATACAAACTGTATTGTGGTTAGTAAAATGAAATGAATATTATAAAAGACTTCAAGATTGTATTTATCATTACAGAAAAGTGTCATGGGACCCATATTAAGTTCCCAACTTTGGTCTGCAGGACACAAGTAGCTTTGAAGAAGAAGAAAAGAAAAACACGTGCCAATCCATAATTGTTTGACATCATCTTCAAGCACACCTGGTAAAGTATTGTATTTTATAACATGCATATTTCAGGCTTGTTGGTTGTTGTGTACTGAAATAATGTATTTATCACAAAAATAATCTATTACTTACTACTGCTGTTTTAATACAGTGAGAATATTAAGGTAGCTGCTTAATAAAAAGTCCTGCAGAGAAGAAATATGTATTGAAAGGTGTAAATTTGCCTACAGGATACCTTGTTGCAATGTCTTCAAAACAAATGTAAAAATGAAAGGATTTCAGTGGTGAGCTCATAATGATGGGATCAAAAGGAAGTGAACTGGACTCTGAGGGACTTAACACAAGGCAAGTTCATTTCAATACATTTTATGTCAAGATTAATTCTGTGATTTAAATTCACATTTACACACTCTACAAATGCTGTCTTCCTACCTCAGATTGTGATGGACCTAGTATGTGACACAAATAAGTCCAGAACCAAATGAAACACTATTTTCCAGAGTACAGATTATGGAGGGGTCTGCAAAACTAATGGAGCATTTTTTTCTTCTTGGAGTGCCACAGCTTGTGAGTAACCAAACACTGTTACATTGTGTGCCAAATAGATATGAAAAATCTGTGTATGACATTTTAAAGCTCATTTGGTAAAGCAATGCATTAGCAATGCCAAATGTGTTCCAGGTCTCACATATTAATAAATCTATAGATTAAACACAATCTAAGTCCCTTTGGATAAAAGTATCTGCCAAATATGATGTATGTTATTTGATATACAGTTATTTTGTTTTGTTCTTATTCTAATTTTATTGTTTTATTTAATGTACATACTGAATTGAGGTCACTCAGAAATGTCAATTTCATTAAATTCTGTAACAAATGAAATGCAGATTAAATAGAAAATATATTACAGCTGTCTACACTGTATTTCTGTATTTTTGATGACTTTAAAGTATACCCCTCCCCCACACACACACACACACACACTTTAATTGTATTAATTATAACTGTATTTCTATTTGACTTATGTTCATTGTTTAAAAGTACTCAGCATTGAAATATTGTTTTACAGAAATCCAAAGGTCCTAACAGCTCTCCTGATTCCGTCAAGGCTTGAAGTGTCAGCTTTACGATAGACAACACTCACTCACTATCCTTTGGCTCCCTTATTTATCAGAGGCACCACAGTAAAATGAATTAGCAACTACTCTTCACTTTCCAGCTGCAACCCAGCACTGGGAAACACCCATACACTCTCTCATACACCTTCACACATTCACTCACTATGGCCAATTCACCAATACCGTACGCATGCCTTTGGACTGTGAGGGCAACCGGAGCACCCAGAGGAAACCCACACAAACACTGGGAGAACTTGTAAACTTCACACAGAAACACCAACTGACCCAGTCAGGAATCAGAACCTTCTTGCTGTGATGTGACAGTTCTAACCAGGGAGCCACTGTGCAACCCATGGACAAACTATTTACGTTATAAGAGAGGCCGGCAAACATGGACATGCTATAGGTTGTGGAATGGCTGTTCTCAGTGTTTTGTCTAATCATTTTGCAAAGTATTGTGTGCCATTAAGCACGTTGTTCAATAACTTTTATTGAAAATTATGGATAAACATGGATTTTGCCATGACCAATACATACATGTACCGTCAACTTGTTGAAATTGTAGTGTTATTTAATAGATGTTTGTGTATTGTTTCTGTCTGCATTGTAATACTTTTTTTTTCATTTTAGAGATGTTTGAAAGTTAAGTTTAGTATTTGTTTAATCAGTAAACAAGCTTACAAATTTTTAATAAAAAGTGAAATCATTAGAATTAGATTGTTGAATGCCATTACGCTGTTAATTGTGTTTACTAATTAAATAACAAAATGTAAAATGTTTAGAGGTTGATCTTATACAAGGTACGCAGAGGTGCTATTTTATATATTATTTAGAAAATTTTTAGTGAAGTAAATTTAAACAATTTGAATTTTCTGCATTGGTCTTATTTATTATTCAATAATAAATAACATTAATTCAATAAAGTAAAGAACCCTCAAATGGTTCTAAATAGAACCATGTAACTTGAATTTAAAGAACCAATTAGGGTTCTATTTAATGAACCCTTAAAATGGTTCTATTTAGAACCTTTTTGGGGTTCCATATATGAAGCGCTTGATAGAACCATTTTTGGTTCTATATAGAACTATTTCTTTTAAGAGTGAAAGAACCAATTAGGGTTCTATTTAATGAACCCTTAAAATGGTTCTATTTAGAACATTTTTGGGGTTCCATAAATGAAGCGCTTGATAGAACCATTTTTGGTTCTATATAGAACCGTTTTTTTAAGAGTGTAAGGCCATCTAGTAGACAACAACAATTTGAGCAGAGCAAATTCACAGGTAAGTTCATAATGGTCATTTTACAATGGCAGTTACAGATCTATTTTGCAACAGCTACTATAGCAGTATCTAGAAGCTTGAAGGAGTTGCAAATCTTCATTCTCGGTAATATCTAATTTAGATAATCAAGAAGAAAATTAAACAATTAAAAGAAAACTGTATAACAAAATTAAGCTGCAGAGTTCAACGTCGAACACAGCAATTATTTTGTCAACTGCTCATGGTTTCCTGTTCATAGGTTACTCAAATATGACTCGATTCAATTCATCTTTATAGCGCTTTTACAATGTATATTGTGTCAAAGTAGCTTAACATTGTAGTTCAGTTTAGCTCAGTTCAGTGTGGTTTAATTTTCCCTGCTGGAAGGTGAAACACTGAAGAGCAAATCCACAAGCTCCACAAGTCCAGGACCATGCAAGCCAGTGGCAACAGTGGCAAGGAACAAACTTCACCAATTGACGAAAGAGAAGGAAAAAAACCTTGAGTGAAACCAGGCTCAGTTGAGCCCGACCATTTCTTCTGTGGCCAAACTTCTTGTGCAGAGCTGCAGTCTAGGTGCCGGAGAACGATGGACGTCGATCGTGGAGAAGCTGCAGGTGGAAGGGTCATTGGCTGGTGTAGAGGCTGGCCCTTCAGGATCAATGCCAAGACTAATCTTTCACTGGGGTCTTGCAGGAACTAGGTATACTTGAAACACCCAGGCAGATGTCTTGAGGCAAGTAAGAGATAAACCCTGCAAGGACACCGGCCCTCCTGGACCGAGATTGGTGACCCCTGCTGTAGAGGATTTGGATAAAAAAAAAAAAAAACAATTGTGTTTTATGTGTATGCTAATGCAAAGAGATGTGTCTTTAATCTAGATTTAAACTGACAGTCTGTGTCTGCTTCCCAAACTGTGCTATGAAGGCTGTTCCCGAGTTTAGGTGCCAGATATGAGAAAGATCTACCACCTACAGTGTGTAGCAAGTACGATTGATTTGTCGCGATAGCGTATTTTTCAATGTGGGCCAATTGGTCAGAAGAGAAAGAACGGCTACTGGAGAGAGAAAAGCAGCACAGCAGGTGAGTGAATAATCAGACACAGTCAGTTTTTTCCTTCAATATAGTTTATATAATTAGAAATATGTTATGAGTTTGTGAATTTCTGTCCAATAAGCATAAGTATTTATGTATATATAGGTTCGATTATAAATTATAATAATGAAAAGTAAATAGTTTTCTCTTTTTTTCTTTACACAGATGAACGTGAAGTCAATATACAGTTAAAACAAAGTTGTGATCAAGACAGTTGAGAAATTTCAAACACTTGTACAAAATAAAAATAAAAATCTTAGAAAGCTACAACACTGTGTTACCCTTTGTATAAAACAAAGTAAAGAAGGCAATAAATTTGTGATAAAAAATACTCTGTACTCTGAAAATAAAGAAATAAATCAATAATAATTATACCAACTCTACTCAAATGCAGGCTATAATTCAATATTCACACTTTTAACTCAATAAATCATTAATGTGCTCAAATAAATCACCTCTCTGTTCAAAGAATCAATACACGGTTCAAATGAATCACCTCCCTGTTCAAAAGATCGTTACTCTGTTCAAATGAATCGTTCGCTACCCAAAAGATTCGGTTTGCTGTCCAAAAGATTTGTTTCGCTTTTAGATGATTCGTTCCACCGTTTGCCGTTCACAGTTCAATACCAAGGATTTCGTGAAAGAGAACTGTTGATTCTCTTAGCTCAGTTCCAGTAAAGGTTTTCCGTTGAGGATTTTAGGAAAAGTAAGAAGGAAAACCGGAAGGTCGCGATGAGTCCGAGTCTCGTTTCTCCAAACAATCAAAAGAACTCTCCTACCAGTCCGGTGGCACAAACACACAGTCTAACAGGAGAGTCGGTTCCGTGGGTGGCTCGCCGTAAGTTTCTCCTCGAGTCCAACGTGAATTAGGGACTCATCACAGATGCTTCGACACACACAAAAAACCCAGCCAAGGAAATCACTCAAAATCAAAGCGAAAACCCAGGAAAACTCCAGGTGGCACTCGTGTGCAGATTTCACTCTCATATACAAATGACGCTTTTTCTCTCAATCCTTAATCAAAAATATATTACATAAATCATTGCAGCATCTTATTAATGGTAAAATTGCACAGTTAATACGAGTTTAGAACATTAAAAGATATAAATCTAATAATTTTCTACTGATAATACAATAACAACTTACTTCTCTCACTCCCTTGCAAACACTGAATCACCATAGCAACAGTAAACACAAACTAACAGACAAGAGAGATTTGTTATTGTTTGTAAAGTTGTTCTGCTGCTATAGCAGAAGGCACGATGATGTCATTCTAAAGCACTACTCCCTTGAATGCTGTATAATACTCTTTTATAAATTATTTATACAAATAAATAATTTTAATGTATATTATTTAATCAAGTATTCTGCCAGTGTTTTTTCTCATATTTATAAGGGTATTTCTATTTTTTCTATTGCTGTGTACTACCAACTAGTAACCTGGGTTATCCGGGTTACAAGTGGATTTTGCTATTCTGGGAAAAATCAGTTATCCAGACTTAATTGAGCGTTGTGGACATGACGGGCTGTAATACACCAGGAGCTCCCTCAAATACTGGGGAGATAAGCAGTTCAAGGCATTGTAGGTAGTCAATACAATTTTAAAAATTATACGATATTTAATAGGGAGCCAATGCAATGATGAAAGAACTGAAGTAATTTGATCATGTTCCTTTGTTCTAGAAAGCACTCTAGCGGCTGCATTTTGAACTAGCTGAAATTTGTAAATTATGCCAACAGGGCAACCACCTAGTAACACATTACAACTGTCTAGCCAAGAGGTCATGTAAGCATGAATAAGCTTTTCTGCATCAGACATTGATAGCATATGTCTTGGCAACATTTTTAAGACGTAAAAATGCAGTTTTACAGATGCTTGAAATCTGGCCTTCAAACGAAAGGTTGCTATCAAAAATCACCACCAAATTTTTGACTGAAGATGAGGACTGAACTAAGAATCCATTAAGGGTTGGACAGTGTTCTAGGTTTTTTTGTGTGTGATTCAAGAGATCTCAGTTTTCTATGATAATCTTTCTACGGTAATATGAATTGCTACAACATTTTTTTTTACAGGAAATATTGCCTGACCACAGAGAGCTGTGGTGTAAGACTGAACTTCTTTTGACTTTGGTAAATGATTAACTTGCTGATCTCCAGAATGACAAGAGGTTCAGGAACAGACCAACAAAAAAGCTACTTGTGAATTGAGCTCAAAATGAATGTTCCTGCAAAACTCCTGGGCTTCGTTGTTTGGTTGTTGTGCTTGAATTGTGGCCAGTGTGAAGGTAAGTATAACTTTCAGTCCAGTTAATTAAAATTCTATTGATTTGAAATTGTTATATTTTGCACTTAAATACTTACAATCCTTCAATGTTATATTGTGTACTATAAATGCACTTTTCAAAATATTTTGTGTGTGCATGCATATGACAGTTAAATCTGTGTAAAGTGTAGTGTTTATTTGTGCCCTATAGATTGTCTTGGAACTGACATTAACTATGAAAATGTAGAACCAGTTTTAGAATGGTCATATCCTGATGGAAAAACAGTAAGAGTGACCTGCCAGACAGGGTATACTGGCATGTACAGATTAAGGTGTGAAGACGGAAAGTGGAGTGAAAACATTGCGCGACCATGTGCAAGTAAGACAAAAAATCAATGTGATCAAATCATTTTTTGGTGGCTTATAGAATGAATGACATTATGTAAACTCATTTGATTTTAATAGAGAAAAGGTGCAGTCATCCAGGGGAAGCAGCAAACGCTGATTTTAAACTTTTAGATGGGACGGAGTATGTATTTGGAACAACGGTGGTGTATACTTGCAAGAAAGGGTATTATGGTCTTATGCCTTTGTTTCTATTATATAACATCACTGTCATCCTCAGTTTAACATTCCTTGAAACTTCTAAAGAGTTAAAACATGTTGACAGGTATAAAATGAAAAGCAGAATCAATCACCGTACCTGCAGATCTCAAGGATGGGACAATGCCATCCCTGTGTGTGAAGGTTTGCTTTTTTTCCTCACTATTTTCTTTTGATTTTCTCAGTCATACACTTATGTTAGTCTCATAAACTACTAAAGAGAATTTACAGAATTATTTTAGATTTTTTACAGATTTTTAAATTTTGTCTAGCTGTGAAATGTCCAGCCATTCATATAGACAGAGATTTGATTGCATCGGGCAACACAAAGGAGGGGAAATATGGTGAAGTTATTCAATTTGAAAGTTAATCTCCTGTCAATAAGATAGATAGTAGATACATTCACAGACGTGGCTGGAGTGCTTCGCGTTCAAAGTGCATAGATTCATTCACTTTTGCTTTATTTGGTTAAGCATTTGTGCTTTATTCAATACAACTTACATTTTGTTGTTCTTGTATTTTTTCTTTGAACCCAGAGGTGACATGCACAACACCTCACATACCAAATGAAGAAGTTGACACATGTGGTTATATTGCTGAAAACTAAAAATTAGTTTGACTTTAGTCTGACTTTTACCTTTATGGCAGAGCTTGATGAATGCAGTCAGCACACCAATATTTGATTAAGTTGACAAAATGTAATAATATTTTATTTTTTTAACATTTCTGGCTGTTTATATAGCAATTGAACAAACACAATAGCTCTTAAAACATTTAAAATGTTTCTGAAATACTTATTTTTTTGTCAACAAATTGAACAGTTTGAACAGTTTAATTGAGGTTTTTTAATTTATTTATTATTTTTTTTCCATATAACTTTGTACTCCTTTTACAGCTGTAACTTGTGAGCTTACTTCAAACTATGAGGTGAAAAGGGTCGTCCCAGAGGGAAAAACTATTTTCAGAGCTGGAGAAAGATTGACAATCACCTGCACTGAAAAAACCTGGTTTAGATCCAAAGAAACCATCAAAACATTTGCATGTCAAGATGATGGGACGTGGGACTCTAATCCTGGTTGTGAAGGTAAGATTATTTAAGAACACTTCTGGATTTGGTTATGACATTACTGGATGCTATTAAAAGATCTCAAATCATGTTTCAGTGATTACATGTGAACCTCCACATAACCAGCATTTGTCCACCAACTTTTGGAGGACATTGTGGTGGTGGTGGATGTTGTGGTGTTTTCAACATTTTTGTTTCTCATTTGCAAAAATAAATTCAAATTAGTACTGTTTTACAGGAATGTGTGCAAGACCTGATATCCCAAATGCAAAAATTATAGGAGATCTAAGACAAAGTTACAGCACTAATTCAACAATACGATATAAATGTAATCCGGGATTTGAACCTGAAGAAACTGTCCAAATCACTTGTGATCACCAAGCTCAATGGACAGGTTTACAGCAGTGCACTGGTTTGTAAGATTGCTGCCATTAATTCCACTGAAAGCCAAAATAACTTCTTCATTATTCAAACAAATAATTGTAGATTGCTTAAAACATTTTAAATAAGAGATCTGAAGTGTCTTGAAACTGTTTTATTGCAGCAAAGCAAGAAGTGTGCCCTGATGTACATGTGAAAAATGGGTTTAGTCAACCCCTAAACAAAACAGTAATCTTTTACGCCTGCAACAAGGGTTACAAACCATTCAATGGAGAATGGTGGAGTTCAGTGACGTGTGTTAAAGGCTCTTGGTCTGATGTTCCTCTGTGCATCCGTGAGTTTGATTAATCTCAGTCTCAGGTGTGAAATAGTTGATAATGTATTCAAAAGTGTTTTCTGTCATCTTTCATTACAGGGAAGGAAGAATGTGGTGCTTTCCCCAGTGTTCAGAATGGAAAACTTAAACTTAAAGATCAAGAAACCGCTGAAATTGATTGTGATCCAGGATTCATATCAAGTACACCTTCTATAAAATGCAACAATGGTACATGGGAAACACCAACCTGTAACGGTGAGCTTCTTTAACTGTTATTAAATGTTTGTGAGAAATGAAACCAGTATACAGTGAGCAGAACAACAGCATTTATGTACAAGCTTAAGCTCAGTTTTTTTTTGGAGTTTGTGAAATTTTACACACTTATTTACATACAAAACTTCTGAATAAATTTCTATGTCCAGTTGTCTCTCTTGAATGTTTTCTTAGACTGTTGTTAGACATATTTAGCAAGTAGTTATTACATTACTAACATTTATAGCATACATTTGTACAATTTGTTCTTATTAATATTTAATATTTAGTACTTAGTAATATTAAACTCAGCTTTTTTGGTCTAGTTGTGAGTTCTTATTTTCGTTTTTTAGAGGGTGTGAGATGTGGCATTCCTCCATATGTGGATAATTCAGTCATTATTTCTAAACCTGAAGTTGTTTATATACATGGATCAAGTGTTACATACACATGCCGAAGCCCGTTTGTAATGATTGGGAAAAGTACAGTTTTCTGCAGCAATGGAAAATGGGAAGAAACACCAACATGTGAAGGTGAGATTCTGGTTAATGGTTCATTCAGAACTTTGTTCTAGACAAAGCAAACATATCAGAAATACCTTGATAACCGAAGTCACAGCTTATCTCTAAATATTCCGTCACTTTAGATTTATAAGATTCTTTCTGACATTTTTGTCAAAATTGAGTTATTGATAAATTCTTATTAAATTACCACTTATTTATATTATTGGATGTTTTTTATAAGTTGTTTACATTTTAAGACTTTTTATCTAAAAAAAGGGGAATGGAAATGCTATAGGTGGATTTGATTGTAGAAAATCCACGTATGGGAGGATTCAGTTCAGAAGCCGCTTGTCTGAAAGTGTATTGAACGGGCCAATGAAAGCCAATGAATTGGCAGCGTAAGCTTGCGCAGGTGTGCTTCATTGCTAATTATCCCAGCATATAAGCACACATGGAGCGAGCAAACGCCATCCTTTTAGGCTGAAGAGACTTGCTAACAGCTAAAGGACAGTCATTGTGGCAATGAAGGGTTACTTCTGTAACCTGAGCGTTCCCCTTTGGGTGAGGAACTTCAATGCTATAGGTGGATTTGATTGTAGAAAATCCACGTATGGGAAGACTATGGAAAACGCCATAATGTCTGCACCTTACCAACGCCTCCAATGAGAGGATAGTCAAGCAAGCGTGACGCACCCACATCATGGGAGGCGCGGTCCTCCAACGTGTCCCTGGCCCTAACTTATCCCACTTCAAAGGAAGTTTTACGTATTAGGTATATTTTTTGGGAGTCGCTAGCGTCTAGATAATTCTAGGAAATACGACAGTATGTTGGGAAGCGTGCAATCCCGGTAGGGAGGACGCTGCGGAGACCATCTTCACCCAATGGGGGAGACAAAATGGCAATTACATATGGACTAGCCCTAAGAAGGGGGAGTGCGCATAAGAAGGTGGTTAGCGGATAGGGAAGGCACGGGTCCACCCAAGAGGGGGGACTGAACCGTGGCGGAAGGCATATGGGATCGCCTAGTGGGGATCGCACATAGCAGGCACCTATACCAGCAGGTCAGCACATAGCAGGTCTGACCTATAACGTAGTGGGCCAGCAAGTGACTCCTCTGCTGAGTCAGTGCCGGGGGCCACGGAGGAAACTGCAGAGCTCACATGACGGGGAACATACTGACAGACAAGGAGGCACACATTTCTCGGTGTTAGGGAAAAATGGCACCGCAATCGTGTTACAACACCCCACCGAGTTGTTTCCTCAATCACCAAGGGTTACCTAATACCTTTGAGGAAACCGGCTCCACTCGCAGATTGTAAAACCTAGCAAATGTGTTGGGTATCGCCCAGCCCAGAGGATGCAACGCTCGAGTGGAGTGCGCACGGACTCCCGGAGGACACGGCTTGCCTCTGCTCAAATAAGCACATGAAATGGCCTCCACAATCCAGTGGGATAATCTTTGTTTGGATACGGCACTTCCCTGCTGCCGACCTGCATAACAGACAAAGAGCTGCTCAGATGATCTAAAGTACTGAGTATGGTCCACATAGATGCGCAGAGTGCGAACTGGACAAAGTAAAGAAAGGGCTGGGTCTGCCTCCTCCGGGGGCAGCGCTTGCAGGGTTACTACCTGGTCTCTAAAGGGAGTGGTAGGAACCTTGGGCACACAACCCGGGCGGGGTCTCAGGATAACGTAAGAATAATCCGGCCCGAATTTCAGGCACGAGTCACTGACCGAAAATGCCTCCAGGTCCCCGACCCTCTTATTGGAGGCCAACGTGACCAGCAGAGCTGTCTTCAGGGGACAGAAATCTTAAGGATACTGATTCGAGTGGCTCAAAGGGAGCAGGCTTGTGAGAACGAGGGCGAGATCCCAAGAGGGCATGAGAAGGAGGCGAGTTGGATTAATTCGCCTAGCGCCTCTGAGGAACCGGATGATGAGGTTGTGCTTTCCCACGGTGCCGCCAGCTACCGCATCATGATGAGCGGAGATGGCAGCCACGTAAACCTTGAGAGTGGAGGGCGACAGCCTGCTCTCCTGCTTAGTCTTGGCATTGATCCTGAAGGGCCAGCCTCTACACCAGCCAATGACCCTTCCCCCTGCAGCTTCTCCACGATGGACGTCCAGCGTTCTCCGGCACCTAGACTGCAGCTCTGCACAAGAAGGAAAGGGAGCACAACACTGATCTGGCAGGTTCGAGGGTCTTCTCTGCGAGAGACACACCATTCAGTGAATAGACTCCACTTCAGGGCGTAGGCCCGCCTCGTGGAGGGGGCTCTAGCCTGAGTGATGGTATCAACCACCACAGATGGTAGGTTACCTAAGTCTTCCTCACGGCTAGGGACCACACGTGGAGGTTCCAGAGATCAGGGCGAGGGTGCCAGATGGTGCCCTGTCCCTGAGAGAGTAGGTGAGAGAGGGCGAGCTCTGATATCCAGGTCCGGTTGGGCCAGAGGGGCGCAACTAGCAGGACCTGCTCGTCGTCCTTCCTAACCTTGCACAGTAACTGGGCGAGCAGGCTCACTGGGGGAAACGCATACTTGCGTATGCCCCGAGGCCAGCTGTGGGCCAGTGCATCCATGCTGAGAGAGCCCTCTGTCAGGGAAAAGAACAACTGGCAATGAGCATTCTCGGGGGAAGCAAACAGAATGATCTGGGCCTTCCTGAAACGCGCCCATATCAGCTGGACAGACTCGGGGTGGAGTCTTCATTCTCCAGTGTGAATTTGCTGTCATGAGAGCACATCGACTGCACGGTTAAGCATACCTGGGATGTGAATGGTGCGCATCGATTTCAGCTCCTGAGGAGCAGACGGCAGGCAAGCTGAGACATGCGGCGAAAACGCATACCTCCCATACGGCTGATATACGCTGCCGCCGACGTACTGTCCGTCCTGACCAGCACGTGTTGCTGCTCCAACACCGGAAAAAAGCAGTGGACGAAGGAACACTGCCAATAGCTCTAGGCGATTGAAATGCCAATGCAATTGGGCACCTTTCCATAGGCCCGCAGCTGCATGCCCGCGACACACGGCTCCCCAGCCCGTGTTAGAAGCATCTGTTGAGACAACAACATGACTGGACGCCTGTCCCAGAAGCACACCGGCCTGCAGGAACGAGGGGTCGTTCCAAGGGCTGAGGGTGCGGCGACACAGCGCAGTGACAGAGACTCGGTGTGTGCCCGCATGCCATGCGCGTCTTGGGACTCGATCGTGAAGCCAGTGCTGAAGTGGTCTCATATGGAGCAATCCGAGCGGCGTGACGGCTGCAGCGGATGCCATATACCCCAGGAGCCTCTGAAAGTATTTCAGTGAGACCACGAGCTCCCTTAGACAGACCTGCGGAGACAGACAGAGCCCAAAGGGGAGGACCTTGTATTGCCACGCTTGACCTTCGAAAGCAAACTGCAGAAACTGGTGGTGGCGCGGAAGAATGGAGACATGAAAATACGCGTCCTTCAGGTCTATGGCTGCAAACCAATACCGAGGACTGACGCATCGGAGGATGTGCTTCTGCGTAAGCATTTTGAACGGCAGCTTGTGTAGAGAGCGGTTCAAAACGCACAGATCTAGGATTGGCTGTGACCCACCGCTCTTTTTGGGTACAATGAAGTACAGGCTGTAAAACCTGCTCTCCATCTCAGCTGGAGGGACCGGCCTGATTGCACCCTTCGCCAGGAGGGCAGCAATCTCCTTTCGCAAGATAGGGGCAGACAGGGGGTTGACCCTGGTGAAATACACACCCGTGAACTTGGGGAGCCGTTTCGCGAACTGAATCGCATAGCCGAGTCTGATTCTGCGTATGAGCCACCGCGAGGGGCTGGCCCACGCAAACCAGGCAGGCAGAGCCTTCGCTAATTGAGTCATTGCTACAACCGCTAATGTAACAGTGGTGGGGCAGCACGGAGTGTGTGTGCTGATCCAGGGTCCTGCGGAAGAGCTGGAGAAGAGCGATTCGCTCTGGCTCCGCACCCTGACTCCGGAGAGGGGGCTCGAGGGCTGGGGGAAAGGAGATCGTCCCCCCAGCGCTCGTGAGCCACTGGCGGAGCATGTAGACCCTGTGAGCTGGGAAGCAGCGCGTCCCAGACTAGCAGGGTTCATGCTGTCACATCCGGGAAGGGGAAAAGTGCTCTTTCATTAAAATTTTGGTGGCACTGAAAAGAACCGTTGGAATATGGGCCCCGCCCTCCAGCGGGGAAAGAGCAAGTTTCCTCCTCTCCGGATGGCCTGTCTCGGGGACGCTTCGTGGTCCGTTTACCGGACTTAACGTCACCCTGGGCAGCAGATATGGGTGGTACGGCGGGCAGAGCGGGCTTACGGTCCCGCCGATAGATGACATTACCCATCGCATCAGACTGCTCTCTCACCGCCTTGATTTCCTGGGTGAATTCACAGACGGTGTCGCCGAACAGGCCAGCTTGAGATATGGGGGAGTCAAGAAAGCGGACTTTGACGACTTCGCACATATCAGCCAAGTTTAGCCAGAGGTTGAGCTCCTGGACCAATAATGTGGACATCGTCCTCCCCAACGCACACGCAGCGGACTTAATGGTCCGAAGAGCATAGTCAGATGCGTGTGAAGCTCACAAACCTGGGTTGGAGCCATCCTCGTGCAGCTCGGTCAGCGCCTGCGCTTGGTAGTGCTGGTAGGTGGCCATCACATGCAAGGCGGAAGCAGCCTGGCCCGCAGCCTTGTAAGCTCTAGCTCGGAGGGAGGCAGATAACTTACAGGCTTTGGACGGGAGACGAGGCGGACCCCGCCAAGAAGAGGTGCCACACGGACAAAGATTGACCTCAATCGCGCGCTCGACCTGAGGAATCGACACATAGCCCCTGGCCGTCAAGAGTGGTGAGGGCGGAGTGACACGCAGCACAGGCAGAGAAAAGTGCCCTCCAAGACTGCGTGAGCCTACTGTGCACCTCCGGGCAGAAGGGGACGAGAGGCTTCGATGGCTTTGCCCTCTGGTCCTCTATGTAGCACCCATCTAGTCGGTCTGGCAGCAAAGCTGGGGGATAAACCATCTCCAAACCACGGACGAAGCAGCCCGGGAAAGCACGGCTAACATGTCCATTTCAGGATCCGTTTTGACAGCGCTCACCTGCCCAAGGGGGGCGAGCGGGCCTGGATTCCATTTCGACAATAAAAGCCCACCCTCCGATGCAGCAGTGGATGTCTGGTCCCCGGTGTCATCGAACGTAAGGGCTACCATCTGTTTAGACGGACCACTTCCTCCGTTGAAGATTGGATGGAGCGCTTGGAGGAGCGGGAGGTCCGCGGGCCCGGAGGCGATGGATTATCTCCCACTGGAATCTTCAGATCTGCCCGAGTGCCCGCTACAGTGCAGGGGACAGCTGGGGTGGTTCGCCCTTTTGCAAAGGCTAGCCGCGATCTTAACTGTGCAACAGTCATGGCATTGCAATGACAACATGAACTGCCCGCGAGCAGCGCATTAACATGTTGGACCCCCAGGCATGCAACGCAGTGCCCATGCCCATCATCCGGGGACAGGAAACCACTGCATCCAGAAATGCACAGTCGGAGCACCATCCTGAAAAGGACGTGCTGCACGACTGTGTTGCTCTGTTTGTGAGTTGCAACTTTATATGCACCGCTCTGGAAGACCGGACCCAAAGAACGCCAGGCACGGCGGAAACCCAGCTCGACCAACTACCGCTGTGTGTACACACTCTGGACCGGGACAATGCTCACATTCGCTCGAAATCACTGGATCACAGCAAGTGGAACCCTCATCGACTCTCTCAGAAGGCTGTAATACTCTCTGAAGCGAAAAGGATGGAGTTTCCTTGCTTCCCCTGTGCTTAAATGCGGAGCTAATTGGCAATAAGGCACACGTGCGCAAGCTTAAACTGCCAATTCATTGGCATTTCTTTGGCCCGTTGTATACTCTTTCAGACGATTGGCATTTGGAAACGAAATCCCCATTCGTGGATTAATGAATAAATCCACCAATAGCATTGAAGTTCCCCATGCGAAGGGGAAGCAGTATTCCTACCAGTGCTTGGACGACATGTACTGTACAGTGGCAGTCGAACTGGGTTCCTTTCCCATGCGTTTTGCTGGACTATGCTCTCATGTCCTTCAAGTCTGCTGCCCGGGGAGGACAATGGGCACCCTTGTAATGTCACCCTTGGCTAACAGGCAGATATGCGCCATGCCACCAAAAAACTCTTTCTTGGCACACCCACATCTCAGGTAAGCCTACTCGACGACACTTTCATAGAGTTTGCCCAGGAGTCCTCAGTGGTGAGAGATGAGCCGTGCGTGAGGGAGCAGGTCATCTCTTGGTGGGTTCGGAAAACTACTCCTCCACTGAACCTGTTCACGCTGGCTGTTCCATGCCAACAGCACTTTTCCTATAGCTCCAAGACGCTCTGCCGTCACAGCCCTTTCCGAGTTCCTGTGGCTAGTGAATGCGCCAAGCCCCCCCAAAGGAAGTTGATGCTCCCGTCACAGGTCGCCGTTAAGTCTGATAAAGAGCTGAGCTCTGCTAATAAAGCACTTTTCTCTTACGTTTGGTTTTGAAACACTATTGGTTGGGTTTAAGATAGGATTTAGATCAGTGGTTTACTGGTCTGTATAACAAACCCACCTTCTCTGGACATATTGATGCACTTGTATCTGAAAACATATCCCAAGTAATATATTTTAGATAAGCAAAAATGTAGACAGTGCCTTCTAGTGGATTTGTCATCTGAAACATGCAACAAAACATACCAAGAGCAACATATTTTACATGCTAAACTAAATACAGGTATTGCTATTGAAAACATCAAAGATGATACTAAAATATAACTAAATATAATGGACGAATATAAATTCATCTAGCTAAATAGTATATATAATTCCATTCAGTTTCTCTCCACATATTTTTTTCCTAGGATAAGTTGTGCATATTTTTATTATAGATAACACAAAATGTATATATAACTATTTATGCATTTTTAATTGTGTCTTAACTTCATCCATTAGCAAGGTGTCTCAGGCCACTTGAGAATTATATGTCACTGGCAAATGATAAAGACACATACCAGGATAAAGAAATTCTAAACTACCAATGCTTGAAGCCGTATGATAAAATTCCAGAAGGAGAGTGGATCTGTGAAAACGGAAAATGGACTGGAGACTTTGTCTGCACAAGTGAGTCACTTAAAATGTTTTGGACATAAACTCTATGAATGTACTCACACAGCCAGAGGTCAAAAGAGTACCAACAATTTGTACAAAAGGTTTGATAATTTGTGCAGCCAAATGTTTTAATTCAGTCATAATTCAAATATTAACACAAAGCAGTGAAGGGGCAACACTCTAAAACGTCAAAATGTGAATTAAGCTTGTGGTCTTCAAGGTCAAACACGACCGCCATAGGAAATTAATGGGAAATAATCAAAATATGAACATTAAGAGAATATTTTGTTTGCACAATCAACAAATCTACCATGGTGCTGAAAAAAGTGCACATGAGTGAAGGGATGACACAGTGCGAAATACACACACATATACATCTTATGGAATCTTGTGGCAATTCAAAAGGTGGTTGAAGATCATGACTGTAACACATTAACACATAAATCAGATGCTTGTTTGTAGTATGTTGCAGTGGTATTATTTGCAGTCATGTTGCTGCTGTAGCTGGTAAATTCAAAGAAAACTCTCAAACCTCTTCGGGCCCTATTATACACTCGGCACAATAAGGCACAAAAAAACATGTTTGGCGCGATTTGTTTCTATTTTCAGAACAGCACAACCCTAATTTTTTTTGTTTTGCGCCACGTAATTTAAATAGCAAATCTATTTGCATCACTAAGTAGACTCATGGGTGTGCTGGTCTCATTTCATTATTGTTCATTTATTTGTTTGCTGGAAATTAGAACTGAATTTAGAAATAGTTTTGAAACAAATTTTGGTGTTTAATAAACGAAATTTCCGTTTCCTTATCTACGGAAGTAAAGGAGTAAAGTAAAGTGGAAAAGGAAAGAGGCTGAATGTAGGAGGCTCGTTCTTTATCCTAAATCTGATGGGCTATATAGCCTTTCACCTTACCCCTACAATTCCAAACTAAAGAAGAATTGGGAACCCCTGTCCCTTCAGGTAAACGTACGAAACAATAGGGGGAAGAGGAAGTGCTAAGGGCCTAAGGGGTAAAAAAAAGATTGGGCCTAACAATGATGAGCATGGTCAGCAGCAGGGATATTGTTCATTGTCACATTAAGAGCTGCATGGTTCAAATATATTACAACAAGTGCATTTTCATTCTGTTTATTTATTACACAACACAGACATCCTAAGTCTCTCCGAAATTCCGGTAGTCTCCCGCAAATGCATAGAGACTCCCGGATGCCAGCAGACAAATGATAATCTCCCAGAAATCACGCGTCTCTCGCCCGGTCCTTAAATAGTCTCCACCGCATCCCTCCTAGCTCTTCAGATACGTTGGGGGCAACTCAACCCCACCGTTCTTCAGCATGCTACTCACCCCCACCGCTTTTCAGGTACGTCGCGTGCAACTGACCCCCACTGCTCTTCAGGTACATCGCACGCAACTCACCCCCACCACTCTTCAGGTACATCATGCGCAGACGCCTCAACCGCTCATCAGATACGTCCCTCCACCGCTCTTCAGATAAGTTGTGCACACACGCCCCAACCTCTCATCAGATACGCCCCCCCCACCGCTCTTCAGATACGTCGCGCGCGGACACTCAGAGATTAAGTGCATGCACAGAACAGCATGAGTTCCCTTTCATGTTTTAAAAACAATGAACGAAGCACATTCCATGCTGCAAGTCACATAGCATGATTTTACTGATTGATGCTAAATTAAGCTTTGAGGAGAAATAAATGTGGATTTCTGTTGTATGACGCATATTCATTATTTTATCTTGATTAATTTATTTTTCATAATCATTGAAGACCAAAATCGAAGTCGGCATTGAATTTGGATTAATTGCCCCTGAACAGAAAGATCTGGCTATTATAATAATTATAATATTATAATAATTATAATAACGCCAATATTCTGTGCCCATGTTTTTTTCTTTCTATTCTTTTTCATGTTGCCATTTTATCTGACAGGCATGGTAGTTGATTAACATTGCGATTACATGAAAAATAATGAAAACGTGCTCTTATAGGTCTTAACGAAGACAGCAGGTACACAAAAAAGCTGGGCAGTATACAATTTAATCCTTTGCTGAAAGCTACAGAAGTGTATGAAATTGATATATTGTGTAGATGGATCATTATCAAATGTTAATCAATGTATAGTGGCTAAAGGAACTACTCAAAACAATTGTTTTTCTGTTCTTAAAGCTTGCACACAGTAAAATTAGTTTAGATGTGACTTGTGTAGTAGCAAAATAGCCAGTGAACTACCAGAAAACTTGAAGATGACAGGTGAGCTGGGCTAATTTAAATGCAAAGCCTAGAGACCCAGACAAACAATGAACTAATCTTTATAGAATTTCATAGATGCATTAAAGTTTTATCTTGTTGGAGATGACACAGTTTGCATACATTCATGAATTATATGTTAGAGAATCAATATGTAACATTTGAATTATATTAAACTTCCCATGACTGTACTTGAAGGCTATAGCGTCAATCTTTTTTGTTTTGTTTTTATTTCGAGTTACTCTCACATCCTGAATATTTCCCTCTCATGCATATTGCAGACCTTCAAGTCTGCTTCTGTCTGAAATTAGGCATTAGGCAACGTAATTTTTCCAGAAATTATTTACTATTTCCCTGAGGAGTGCACAAGTTTATAGGGGAGCACCACGGCTAATACGGAGAGCTTGTTGGACAGTAAGAAGTGGGGCAGGTTTTACGAAGTGTCACACAGTTCAGATATGAGGGCTTTTTAGTGGTCTGTTTATGCTCAGATCTTTATTTTTGCAACTGAAATAAATGCTGAAACAAACTGAAATGTTAGCTGGGTATGACAAATGGGTGAATTATGTGTAAAACACAATTTTCAAATGTTTTAATAGCATAAAGAATACATGTACACTAAATAGTCACAAAAATAAAGTGGGCTCTAATAAACATAAAATGGATTAAAATGTTTCTGTTGTAAATTGTTTAGGTGACATCTGCCCACCTCCTCCTTATATTGAAAATGGAAGTCATTTTAGTAGGAATCCAGATGATAAAATGCCTACTGAGGTATACTATGAATGCCAGGCTTACTATGTGCTGAGTGAGAGAAAGCAATATTACAGGTGTGAAAACGGGAGATGGAGAACCCCTCCGAAATGTCTGAGTGAGTCGTGCTTCTCCAGATGATTCTCTTGAAATACTCAAATCATGAAGTGAACTTAATGTTTCATCAGTTTTATTTTGTCTTTGTCACAGAGCCTTGTCAAATTACACAAGATATTCTTGAAGCACACAACATGAGACCCGATCAACAAACAGGCTATATAAAGCATGGTGACTATGTTGACTATTATTGCCAGCATAGATTGATTGTTAGGACAGGACACTACAAGAAAGCAACATGTTCTGATGGAAAGTTGGAAATTGAATCATGTGAATAGATGTGTTTGTGTATTATCAGATGTACAGGAATTAGCTGAGGTCATCAGATGTGCCTATGGCTAATCTACAGTCACATTTACCAACCTGATAATATTGAGGCTCATTTAATAGACCTGTTTTGTTGAGGTTTGATTTGATGACCCTGATGCAGGGTCAGTCTTTGACAGTCATTGCAGATGGTCACTCATCACTCTCAACTGTTTCAACTCTTCTCTGATTGTTGGCTATCTGATCTTCTCTGCTCTCTCGCTCTGTGCTTGATAATTGTTTAAAAGCTTGTCCCAAGCTTCATGTGCAAAGGCAAAAGCATACTCGTCATTGCCTTCTTGTGCATTGGCTAACATCAGTTCTGCCCGCAGTCTGTGTTTGAGTAATCCCATTCTGTAAAAGGCCCTGTGATCCTCTTCTGTTTCTGTTTCCTGGAGGGTTATTTTCTGTTTGGTTCAGTCCTGCAGCGCCCAGAAGAAAGCTGACTATACGAGTGCTTTATTTCTCTTTATTAATAAATACTATTTCTGTGATTTATCCCTTGTGTTTGGGTCTCTTTTAGAACACTGACACAGATATTTCTTAAAATCATCCTTTTCAATCCAACATGAATATCATTAAAGGATCATTACACTTAAGAATTTAAAATTCATCCAGAATGTTCATGTATTTATTTAGTTGAGAACAAATAAAAAAAAAATTGAAAACATTCCAGGATTTTTTAGAATTACTATATAGTGAATTTCAGTGGGGGCCAATGGGCTTAAGCAGGAAGGGTCTAAGCAGTCGCTTTGACTCATTGAATATTAGTCATTACATTTAATCAAAATTTCTGTTAATTGAACTTTCACTTCACAATCTAGCCATTCTTTGGTGTGCCATTATCAAAGTTAACGTGCTGCGTTAACGCGGGACTGTTTATCAGGTGATAAAAAAATATTATATTCTCAAAGTTGGGTTGGGAGCTGGGTCTATTCTACGCAAGCTATAATAACTTTCACCTTGATATTTTAGCGTGGATGTATACCTGACCGGTGAGCCTTCTGACAAAAAAAGTGCCCCTCTGAATCAAATCACCAGGATGCCCTTCTGGATCTTTCACTTACTTCGAAGACACTACTGACTACGCTTACAAGGATATCTATCTAGTTGTTTGCCTTAATAGACAGTGATACTTAAGGTGTTTACGTGAAGTGATTTCATGTAAGAGTTTCCTATAATTTTGGGTGACTTTAACTGCAGTTCAGAAGTTTCACTTTAACTCATGAACATTTTATTCATGCCCCCGTGACATACGTGAAAAGTCCTACATGACGGTAATAGTTGTTTAACTCAATAATGCCACTAATATATGCATACTTCACATGTCTTAGTTCTATTTCTTTTTAGTTCAGTTATGACTTTAGTCGGATTAAGGTAATCAAAAATCGCTGTTTTGAGCTTAGGTTGGCCTGCAGTTCAAAATTCATGTTTAACTAAATAAACTGTTAGTAAACACAAGTACATCTTATTGAACATCATTTATTTTCATTACCAATTATCATAGTAGAACAGTTTCTCAAGCAGTTTGTGTTGCATTTTGGAAACAGGAGATGAACCCCCTGGTCTAATGCGCCACCTGGCTTGAGAAACCCATTTTCAAAGACTTTTAGTCATTATATGGGTACCACACATATTCTGAATGCCTTCGGCAGAATTAATTTGAGCCATTTTAATCTACATTAATTTTGATTAATTCCAAGATTACAGTGAGATTAATCTGGATTTTAAAAAATTATCTATACCCACCTATAATAAATATATATGTATATATATATATATATATATATATATATATATGAAGTCAGAGTTATTAGCCCCCCTGAATTATTAGCTCCCGTTTATTTTTGTTTAACGGAGAGAAGATTTTTTCAACATTTCTAAACATAATAGTTTTAATAACTCATTTCTAATAACTAATTTATTTTATCTTTACTATGCTGACAGTAAATGATATTTTACTACATATTTCTCAAGACACTTCTATACAGCTTAAAGTGACATTTAAAGGCTTAACTAGGTTATGTAATTTTGTCCTTAAAATGGTGTTTGAAAAATTAAAAACTGCTTTCTCCAGAAGAAAAAAATATTATCAGACATACTTTGAAAATGCCATTGCTCTGTTAAACTTTAAGAAAAATTCAAAGGGGGGATAATTATTCTGACTTCAAATGTATTTTGAGTGTTGTTTGCAATGCAGTAGACACATTTTGCATTAGCAGGTTAATGATTACTCTCTCTCTCTCTCTCTCTCTTTATATATATATATATATATATATATATATATATATATATATATATATATATATATATATATGATCATTATTTAATCAATAAGGGGATTTATAATAATTGACATCCCTGGTTGTCATTGTTACTTTTAATCAATTTAATGTGCGACTGTTGAATAAAACATTACTGAATCCGATTTTTTTTTTGTTATAATTTTTAAATGCTAAATTTGAATGGGATAAAAATTCTGTGATAATTAAACTTAGTAAAGCAAGCTTCGTAAGTAAAAGGAGGAAAAATTACAATAACATGCATCATCCTGTTACTCTGCATTTTTTAGTTTTCTCAATAAAGATCTGATGAGTCCTCAGATAAATGAAGGACAGACATGCTGCGGCTGGGGGAACACACACACACACACACACTTTAATACTTGATACTTCAATCTGCTCCTTCAATCACAGTAATAGTAAAAAAATAAAATAATTGGTGGTTATTTTTGATAACCATATTATTTAGAAGTGTGAGACTATACACTGGTCTCACAGTTTGGTTCAACTCGATATCTCAGTGCATCATGGTGCATTGACGATGCTTTCCTCACATAATTCGATTTTTTCTTCACAACACAAGATTTTTTTTTAATACACAAGTGAGTGTGCATGTTTCTTTACTTGGTATCCTGCAAATTGTGACACACTGTGATGCAGCAGCAAAGGCCACCTTTTCAGTTTTTTTCCACTAGGACGCACAAGGCACGATCACTTTTCCATTGTCAGGCCAGCACGATTGATTGAAGTTTTGACATATGTTACATACAGTCATGTGAAAAATTTAGGACACCCTATGAAAGCCTGGGCATCTTGTAAGATTTTCAAATATATGTTGTATGGAGCTAATATATGTTTAAATCTCAATTTTAACACTGCAGAAAATTAAGGTAACATAAAGCTAAAAACCTTTTCTAGATCTTTTGTAAAGGTAATTCTACAAAACTGCATATTCTAATTCAAAAAAAGTTGGACACTACACCTTATTAGCTAGTGTTACCCCCTTGAAATAACGTTCGAGGTTACAGAAGTAACCCTTCCTTCCCCGAGGAGGGGAACAGAAGTGCTATTAAGTGGATTTGATATTGAAAATTCACGTATGGGAAGGATTCGGTTCAGAATCCTCTTGTCTGAAAGAGTATTGAACGGGCCAATGAATGCAATGAATTGGCAGCGTAAGCTTGCACAGGTGTGCTTCATTGCCAATTATCCCAGCATATAAGCACACCTGGAGTGAGCAAACGCCATCCTTTTAAGCTGAAGAGACTTTCAAACAGCTAAGGGACAGTCATTATGGCGACGGAGTATAGCACTTCCATTCCCCTCCTCGGGGAACGAAGGGTTACTTCTGTAACCTCGAACGTTCCCCTTCGGTTGGGGAACTTCAGTGCTATTAAGTGGATTTGATATTGAAAATCCACGTATGGGAAGACTATGGAAAGCGCCATAATTACTGCACCTTACCAACGCCCCCGATGAGGAGATAGTCAAGCAAGTGTGACGCACCCACATCATGGGAGGCGCGGTCTTCCAACGTGTCCCTGGCCCTAATTTATCCTACTTCAACAGAAGTCTTACGGATTTAGATATTTTTTTTGGGAAGTCGTGAGCATCTAGATAATTCTAGGAAATCCGACAGTACGTTGGGAAGCGTGAAATCCCGATAGGGAGGACGCTGCGGAGGCCATCCGTTACCCAAAAGGGGAATAGATGGCAGAATTTACATATGGACTAGCCCTAAAATGGGGGAGTACGCATAGCAAAAAAGTGGTTAGCGGAGAGGGAAGACACGGGTCCACCCAGGGGGGGGGACTTAACCGTGGCGGAATAAGCATATGGGATCGCCTAGTGGGGATCACGCATAGCAGGAACCTATACCCAAAACGCGGGCTGACCAGCAGGCAGAACTACAACGTAGTGGGCCAGCAAGTGACTCCTTCGCTGAGTCAGTGCTGGGCGCCATAGAGGAATCTGCAGGGCTCACCTGACGGGGAACTTTACTGACAGATAAAAAGACCTCCGTGTTAGGGAGAATGGCGCAGCAAGCGTGTTTCAATACCCTACCGAATTGTTTCCTCAATCACCAAAGGGTTACCTAATACCCTTGAGGAAACCGACTTCACTCGCAGATTGTAAAAAACCTTGCGAATATGTTGGGTGTCACCCAGCCCGCAGCTGTACAGATGTCTGTTAGAGAGGCGCCGCGTGCGCGCGCGCTCGAGAGGATGCGAAGCTCCGAGTGGAGTTTGCACGCACTCTTGGGGGACGCGGCTCACCTCAGCTCTGATAAGCGAGAGAATGGCATCCACAAACCAGTGGGAAAACTTAATTCGGTACGGCACTTCCCTGCTGCCGACCGCCATAACAGACGAAGAGCTGCTCAGATGATCTAAACTCTGAGTGCTGTCCGGATAAAACGCAAGACGTGAACTGGATAATAAAGAAAGGGCTGTGTCTGCCTCCTCCGAGGGCAGCGCTTGCAGGCTCACTACCTGGTATTAAAACGGAGTGGTAGGAACCTTGGTCACATATCGCGGGCGGGGTCTCAATGTGAAAGAAAGCCAGCCCAATTACAGGCACAAGTCACTGACCGAAAAAATGCCTCCGGGTCCCAAACCCTCTAATCGATATCAACGCAACCAGCAGAGCTGTCTTCAGGAACAGAAAGATACTGAGTCGAGAATCGAAGGGATCTGACGCGGCTCGTATAACGAGGGCGAGATCCTAAGAGGGCATGAGAGGGGGCGGGGTGGATTAATTCGCCTAGCGGCCCTGAGGAACCGAATGATAAGGTTATGCGTTCCCACGGTGCTGCCAGCCACCGCGTCATGAGAGCAGAGATGGCAGCCTCGTAACCTTAAGTGTGGAGGGCGACAGCCTGCTCTCCAGCTTCTCTTGGCGTAAAGAAAGCACAACGCTGATCTGGCAAATTACGGGGGTCTTCTCTGCGAGAGACACACCATTCAGTGAATAGACTACACTTCAGGGCATAGGCGCGCTCGGGGAGGGGGCTCTAGCCCGAGTGACGGTATTAGCCACCGCAATCGGAGGTTACCTAAGTCTTCCTCGTGTCTAAGGACTTCCAAAGATCGGCGAGGGTGCCAGATGGTGCCCTGTCCCTGAGAGAGTAGGTGCTCTCTCAAAGGGAACTGCCAGGGGAGGGCCATCACGAGGAGGGAGAGTTCTGACATCCAGGTCCGGTTGTGCCAGAGGGGC